TAAATAACCTCTTCCCCTGATTTTGCTGGATGGCACCTCAAGGAGCCACCTGAAATCACTTTTTCAGTTATTCCTTAACACCACATTTCACTGCACAGACCCTTTTCCCTCCCTAACAAACAAACACCAGGCAGTACCAGCAAACCCTGCAGGAACAAAGCTCTCTCAAGGCACGTGAGACATCACCATCCAATTTCCCAAACTCTGAGAGCAATTCCATGAAAATAATTTGAAATAACCTTATAGCTCCACATCTGTCAGCTACATCGATGAAACAGTGCCTGGCTAAAGCTCTCCCCTGGGAAAAGGGACTTTGAAGGAAAAGCTAAAGCTCTTCTTATCCCAACCCCAGTGCCAGGGCAGGGTCAGACACAGCAGTGATGGGGGAACACTTCGAGATCTCAGACACAGGCAGGAGCACCTGCCCTGCATCGCTGCCTCTCCATTTCCTAACCAGGACACTTCCAAACCCCGCTAAAATCCGCCACCAGAACCCACAAACTTCTGGGAGACCTTTGTAACCTGCTCCAGCAACAGGAAAATTATTCAAATCCCCCTAAAATCTGCTACCAGAACCCACAAACTTCTGGGAGATCTTTGTAACCTGCGCCAGCAAGAGGAAAATGATTTTAAGACGGAGTTTGATCAGCTGGATGTCCAACCTGATCTGAAGAGCAAAGAAATTTCCCTTGAGTTCAGGTGGGATTTTTAGTGTTCCAATCTGCCTGTTTTCTCTCATTCCACTGCTCCCCATCCCAAGAGCCTGGCCCCATCCAGACACTGGGACCGTGCTGCTCCTGGGCATCCCAAACCAGCTGGATACTGCTGTAACCAGTTCTGGGATCAAGGATTGCACCCCACGGATGGGGACAAGGGCACGGCCACCAAACTGCTCTGACACATCTCTAAAGAGCTGAAAATCCAGAGAGGAGTTGTTGCTCCCAGCAAAAGGGAGTCAGGAAAAGCTGCTTCCAGCAGCACTGAGCACCACCAAACCTTTCCTCCCGCAGCACAACGTGTTCACCCCCCTTTCGGGGCACGGTGACGAGTGACAGCTTGTCCCGGCGTGCACCCACTGACCCAGTTCGGGGTGCAGCCCGGCGATCCGCATCCTGCACGGACCACGTGCTGCCACACAACCCGCCAGAGCATCCCGAGAGATTCCTGGAAAGCAACCCAGCCGGAKCCCTTCCACCGGGAGGTCACATCTCCCCAGCTCCTGCTCACAGGTCCCTCCACCTGCTCCAATCTGTCGGAGTGGGGGTCAATTATATCAATGTTCATCCGAGAAATGACGCCCATGCCCTTGTGCCCTGTCCGCCCGCGTCCCAGTCACTTCTGCCCCAGTTCCTGCGGTCACTGGTGCGGGGAGAGAGGGAGGGATGGAGGGAGGCAGAGGGATGGATGGAGCTGGAGCTGTTGATGGATGGAGCTAAAGCCACATCCCTCCCTCGGGCGCGGTGTCCCTCTCCCCCGCACGGACGCGGGTGGGAGCGGGTCCGCAGCTGATCAGCATTCAGGGACAGCTCCGGGCTGCCCACTGCCACCCCTCCTCCTCCTCCTCCTCGCAGTGACTCCCTGGGCGGCAGGAGGGGGCACTCCGCGGTGGATTTCACGCCTCCCTCCTCCTCCTCCATAAACCACCGCTCGCTGTTGCTTTTCCCAGCTCCGCGGCGCAGATGTCCCCGATCCACCCCCACGGCCTCGGCTGGCGGGGGGCAGCTGGCACGGCACGGCACGGCACGGCTGGGAACCCACGGGGAGCATCATCTGCACCATGCCCGTGTCCCCACACCGAGTGCACCACGGAACGGGGTGAGGATGCTCCCACCCCGCCAGCTGGGGAAGAAGGAATGTGCGGGGCACGGCGTGCGGGACCGGGGCTCACCTTGTGGAGCTTCCACATGGCTCCCAGCGCCTTGACCTCGTGGCTGGAGTGCTTGCCCTCCTCCAGGCACTGGTAGCACACGGGGCTCTTGCACTGCACGCAGTACATGCTGTGGTTCTCCAGCTCGTGGTCGGTGCAGGTGGAGATCTTGCGGGGGCTGAGCCGGCGGCTGACGCGGCCCTGGGCCGGCGGCACCAGGCGGTGCTTGGCCAGCGGTCCCCGCGGCGGGTGGCACCGCAGGCGGCACGGGTCGCAGTAGAACACGTCGCACTGCTCGCACATCACGGCCGCCTCCTTGGGCGCYTTCTCGCAGAGCTGGCACCGCAGGGCCGCCGCCCTGCCCTGCTGGTAGCGGTCGATGACGCCCTCGAGCAGGCGGTTGCGGGGGAAGCCGCGCAGCCCGCGCTCGTCCAGCACCAGGCTGCGGTGGCACTGCGGGCAGGTCAGGCACGCGTTGCGCGGCGGCGGCGGCGGAGCCAGAGCGGCGGGAGGAGGCGGCGCGGCCGGCGGGAACACGCGCACCCCGTTCGGGGATTTCTGGCACGGCGTGGTGGGAGCGCTGGCGAAGCCCCCGTACGARCCGTAGCCGCTGTCCGCCTCGCTGTAGAGGCTCATCTTGTCCAGGTCCAGGTAGTCATAGTCGGAGACGGCCGAGCCCGAGGCGCGGCGGCTCTGCGGAGACTCCGAGTCCGGCGTCTGCACCAGGATGTTGCGGGCGCACGCCTGGCACAGGTTGTGAGAGCAGGGCAGGATGATGGGCTCCCGGTAAAAGGAGCCGCACACCGGGCATTTCAGCTCCTCTTCCATCTCTTCCATAAGGGAGGGAAGGAAGACGGCGGCGCGGCTCCGGCGGCCGCGGCG